TTTTGCTTGAATGCATACTGTTAAGGCTAAGTTTAGTTATGCGGTTGGGGGTGGTAAAAAATTAGTGATTGAACCTCACTTTAACTTCTCCACACGCTGCAAATGGCACCAGACAGGGGTGTTTAAATGCTGCAGTTGTGATGCTTTGCACCCGCACAAAAAGCTATTCAACATTTTGCGATCAGCAAGCTCATTCAAGCAACTGGATCAGGGCCACAAAATCCAGAATAAACGTGCAGTGGTGGTTTCAGACACATAGATATGAACAAAAGCAGGTAATGGAAATATCAATAAGACCTTATTGGATTGGCAGTAACTGTCCAGTCACTGTACAGCAGTGAGGTCCACACACACGTCTTGGATTTGAAATCCTTACCCCAATGCTCCAAGTTACTACAAGTAATACTTGCTATTAGGTTATTTTAGTAAAACAGCACCCCCTAATGGTCAAATATGTTAATTATTAAGCAATGTAACCACACAAGTGGGGAGTAAGGCTTTTTATTGTCAAAAAATATGCCTAGTGTGAAAAACAGTGCATTTTCCCACACCTGGGGTGCAGCAGGTGGGGCATACAACCGGCTATAGAAGTGAATCACTGTACATATGTAAAGGTAGGACCACATCTATGTGTTTTTTTAGTGCGTTTGCTGAAGCACACACTATACTCCATTTATACATTATTTCCTATGGGTCCCGTTCGCCGTTCATCTATGTAGTTTTCTGCAGTGCATTTTTGTAAAGGTGCAGGAACGTTTTTACACACACAGGTGTGTTTTTGGCTCCATAGACTTCAATGGAAATGCATGAAAAATGCATTATACATGTGTTTTTGGTAGGGATTTTGTTTAACCACTGTACATTTACTGCAGAGGGGTGGCACAGTTGCATAAATATACGTGACTGCCTTCTTTCAGAACTGCGGGCACGAGCATGCACACCCCCTGTCAACCTATGCTGTGTCAGCCAATGATCAGGTGTGTCCAACCACACACAGAGTTCTGTGTTTATAGGGAACAGCAATCTGGCTGTTTTTTCTCCTGCAAAGCTGCAAAAACACATAAAAAATCCACATCAACTGCACATGCACAGATGTGAACCTAGCTTAAATGTTGATTCTTCTGTGCATCAGTGTTTGTCCACACATGTACATATGGAGTATTATACCAAAAGTGAAACTTCTGCTCTGAAGACACCAGGAAGATAGACCTATAGAAATCTATAGGAGGCTACCACACTGATGATTTTCAGGACAGGATACAAACACCTGAAGGGAGGGGAGACTGGATCAAGGCAAGTCTGTATCTAGGGAGAGGGAGGGTAGAACCATTTACGTCAGTTGGTAGAAGCAAAAGGGATCAGTGCATTTCATTTTTAAGTGAATGCATATTGTACTTTAATAATGATCTGTTGAAATATTATTTATTAATTTAGTTTACTCATGTATATATTGTCAACATAATCTGCAGTGCTGTGCATAACAGTTTTTGCTCCAGAGTAGTTTACACTTAAATGTCCCACCATGGTGATTTCTAAAGCTCTGACCTATTCTGTAGTGTTGTACAGAGAACACTGAGTTGGTTCTATCAACACCTGTGCTAGAGGAGTTTACATGTTAATTTCTCACTGCAGTAAAACACTACAGCCATGTTTTATAAGCACTTTAAGGTTACTCTGGCCCCATATTTGGTGGAGGTTGTCAATGGCTGTCTGAGAGAGGGTTCACTCTCTCCCTCCATGTGACAATCTGCAGTTATTCTTTTGTCAAAGGCTCTTTGAGAATTGAGAATTGGTGGCCCATTAGCCTTCTCAATGTTGATAGGAAGTTACTGGCAAAGAAAATTTTTTTGGTGTTTATTATCTGTAGCGGGCAATTTGCTTTCTCTCCATGAGCACTGTTCGGTTCAGGGTAGAAGCACTTTTTCAGCAGTGTTAGCTGTCCGGGAGGCCCTGGAATGGTGCAGGACTGAAAGCTGGGAAAAGTTCCTGCTGACATTGGATCAGGCTAATCACGAGTACCTATGGTTGCTTCTTGACAAGTATGGCCTGGAGGGCAGCTTTATCAATTGGCTAAAGACTTTATACAGGGGGATGAAAGCTTCATGCTTGTGAATGGTTAGATCGGACGGACCTTTGAGGTAGGCTCGGGTGTGTGTCAGGGGTGTCCTTTGAGTTCTCTGCTATAAGCGTTCGCAATTGATCCCTTCATCCAAAGTTTAGAGAGTGGACCATTGTGCGAATTGACTTTGGGCATTCCTGGTGAGCCTCCTCTGAGGGTCGTGCCCTATGCTGATGATGTGTCTGTTTTCATCTCTGGGATGCAGGAGGTGATCTTGCTAATAGAACAGTATGCTGAGGCATCTGGCTCAAAGATCAATCAGGAGTAAGGTTATCTAGATGGGGGAGGAAGGCAAAGGCTTTGAGTTACCGGATGCCTTCCCAGAACCCCGGCAGGAAATTAACGTTTTAGGCATCAGATTTGGTCCCAGTGATAACGGCCTTGCAAATTGGGTAAGCAGGCTGCAAGATGCCGATGGCAAGGTTGCCAGCTGGAAGGATTGTAAACTCTCTTACAGGGAAAGAATTGACCTGATTAAAACTTACCTCATCCCGGTATTTCTGTATGTCAGCTTTGTCTGTTTTGCCAGTGTCTATGCAAAGATCTAAAGAATGAATCTCATTAAGAAGTCTGTAACCTACCTTCCCAGGCAGATGGGGGGCCTAGATATGGTTATATTTTCTCTGATGTTTTTGAAACATAATTTTGGTAGCATGCTGGCAGAGGAACCGCCTAGGTGGGTTGGTATTTTTCAGGCCTGGTTTAGGCCTTTTCTGGGAAAATGGTGGGCCAGTGAAAAGCCTGAGGGTCAACATGGAGCTTATGTTGCTCCACGCCTGAAAATGGTTCGGGAGTGGCAAGTGATGGCAGGAGGAAATAAGTCTCTTCCTAGGAAGGTCCTAGAGAGGAGGGTTGTTGAATATACCTTTAGCGAGCCACTGGCTTTGAGGGATTGCCAGGCCCTGTTATGATGGAGGGTCTGCATTTGGCCTTGCTCTCGTTCCATGGCAGACTCTACGTGAAGGGCAACCTGAAGCATTGCTCTGCGGAAAACCGTGGTTGTCCAAGAGTGGAATGTGGTGGGGTGGAGTAGACGATGGACCATTTCTTGCTTTAGCGCCCTTTCAATATAGAAGTCTATACACAGGTGGGTGGGGCTCTGGGTATCTTTCTTTTGCTTCTTGAGTTATGCGGAGTGGTCTTACGGAGCCTCTCAAACTCACTGGGATCTTGAATTGATTCTTCCTGTCAAGGTGGTGGTGCACAACATTCTGCATGAGGTTGGGAAGATTCAGGTCTTGAGAAGGACAGGTGGCGGCCAGGGGCCTGGAAAAAGGTGTGGAGGAATGCCAGGTCCCCGTAGTTGCTGTCAGTCTCTGGGTGTGTGGCTTTTCTTTCTGTCCTTTCAGGTCAGCTAGTTTTTTAGAAAATAAGATTTTTTAAAACAGGCTGCATGCATGGGTTCAATGTTTAATAGTTTCTTAGCTTGAGGGTGTGTTTAGGTAGAGGTTAGGGTTTTTTTTAAGGTGCATTATAATAATAATTATAATATTAAAAAGTTTTGATTTGTATACTAGTTCTGCTTATAATGTTACTGGAAAAAAAATGTTTCCTGTTTTCTATGCTGAAGTAAGCTATTTGTGTTTTATATATATATATATATATATATATATATATATATATATATATATATATATATTATTATTTTATTTATTCTGTATATATGTAAATATGTTTTTATTAAGCGGTTTGTAAGAATTTTAATAAACAAAAATGTACACTCTAATGTTCAACCACAGTCATACATTATTATTATATTTTTATAGCTCTAACACACATTCAACAGCGCTGTACAGAAAGCACAAGCACTATTTTTCAACCAACAATGACAGATATTTAGGGTGTTTAAATCCCTATGAGGTGTATCATTGTGCTAATATGATCATTTCAAACATATAGTTATATGTAAGCACACCATATCCAAAGCATGCCTTAGCTTTAAAGCCATATTCATCATATATAGAAGCAATATAGTACAAAAGGCACTAATATCCAAGTATGTCATACCACATGAAACATAATACAGCAACAGTATTTGCTACATTGTTAATTTCAATCTATAGCCAAAAGAATACATACATGAACATAGTCAAAGAGCACACTACTCAGTCATGTAGCTGCTGATTTGTAAAAATACAAATAAATTATTTTAGAGTGACAGGGAGTAATCAAACACATCATTGTAATATTGATGAAAGTACATACAACTGTGTAGTTGATCCAATCACTCATGTGGACATGTTTAAGTGTATTCAATAATTAGCAATTGTATAATGTCAAATTATGCAGTTAAAGAGTAGAGGGTAATCAAATGGGACTCTAAGCCAGTAAATAGCTTTACTCAATTCAATCTGCTGTAATTACATTACATACAAATTTTATTTTACAGCAGACATCCGCTGGAGAGGAAAATCTCATCCACTCTCACAGGAGGCAGCAAAATAAAGTCACAGCAATAATACATGGTAAGAATTAGAGAATGAAACATTAATTATTTAAATCTGCAGAAAATAGTGATTTATGGACAGCAATATGCTGCCTGCATTATAGATCATGAACAGCAGATGGCACTATAACCCTTAAATTACAATGTACTGTATCTACAGCCTACCAGCAGAGTAAACAGGGCACATAGATATAGATTATGTCTCATTGGATTGGCCTGCAGTACCACTTAATCCAGCCATGACCTAACATTATAAACATTGAATCTGCCAGCTGCTGACCAACACACTACTGGGCAGTGGGAACCGTCATAGTGGTTGTCACAATTCTTCCTCTGCAATGTTTTCTCCAGTTTCTGGAGCAGGTTGTAAAGTACATCATCTAATCTGCATAAACTGTAATGAAAACAGTTTTAGTTGCCTCAAAACAGAGCAGAATAACACAAACTTTTTGTTTGTAAAGTGAAACTCTGGACAAAATTGAAAAAATGACATACATGACCAGGGGCGGACTGACAAGTCATGGGGGCCCCCGGGCAATAGGGGATCATGGGACCCCTGTGTCCTTGCCCAAACTCAAAAAAGCCTATGAAAAAGGTACCAGGGGGCATCTCATGGGGCCCCCTACTGACCCCAAATGGTCAGTCCACCCCTGTACATGACTGTCCTGCCCAGACCTGTCTACAACAACTTACTCTCTTTCTCCCTGGACACACTTGCTCCTCTTACACACAAAGCCAGGCCTTGCCTGCTACAACTCTGGCAAACAGATAGCACCAGAAGTCTCAAGAGACAGCCATGTTCTTGAGCAAATATGGTGTAAAAAAAAATCCCTGCAAGACGTCACCCTCTATAAATCTGCCCTTCTTCATTACAACTCCTGCCTCCACACTGCTAAACAATCCTACTGCACCACTTTCCTCAAACCCTCTTATCCAATCCTTGTCAACTCTTTTCTTCCCTTAATTCCCTACTACACCCTCCACTGTTTCCACCCACTAACTTACTTACTGCCCAGGAGATTTCCAATCATTTAACAAACAAGCTCAATACAAATCATGGTGAGATCCTCAGTGTCCTGCTTCTCCTCCAACCACATCCAGCACCACACTCCATACTTTCCTCCTTTGACCCTGACACCGCCAAGGAAGTTGCCAAACTTCTTTTTAAGGCTCGCCTCACCACCTGTTCCCTGTTCCCCCACAACTACTATGGCCCCCTTACTGCTCTATACTACACTCTCTATGTCACATTTTCAATCTTTCCCTCCCCTCTCAAATATGCACTGGTTATCCCCTTACTTAAAGTACTACTAAAGGCTAATTTTATTTTTATTTAAATAAAATAACAAACATGTTATACTCACTTGCTCTGTTCAATGGTACTGCACAGAGCGGCCCCGAACCTCCTCTTCCTGGGTCCCCCACTGGCTATCTTGGCTTCTCCTCTTCTTAGTGTGTTCCCATAGCATGCCATTTGCTATAGAGGCACATGGCGTCTGCTCGCTCCCGAGCTGTGTGTCTATGGAGTTCCAAAGACTCACACAGTGGGGCTTAGCCCCGAATCCCCCCCAACACACATACACTTCCTCCTCACTGCATTTGATTGGCAGCAGCAGGAGACAGTGGTTTCTGCTACTGTTCAAGTCCTGTGTGAAGAGGAAGAGAGGGGAGAAGAGATGCAGCAGCATGTATAGCACTGGATCTCATCTCCCCTCTCTTTCCTTTCACACAGGGAAGGGGGAGGACAGAGAAATATAAAGCATTTTTTACCTTAAAGTGTTACTAAACCCAGGACCCTGCATTCACTATATCTGGTCTCCCGCAGTACACAGAACATGGAAGTGCACTTAGTTTAGTAAATATAAACTGCTAAATGCTTTTTCTCATCAGCAGTTAGAGCAGTCTTGTGACTTCTATTAGTGTTCAGCAGAGCACTGGTTAAAGCTTGTAGGAGGAGTTTTCTTTCTGCTCTAGGAGGATGCAAAACCCATGACCTTTCTCTGGACAGTGCTGATTGGCCCTGTGCTGATCACATGCACTCTCCCAAAAAAAACCCAAAAACCTCTCTAGTAATACACACAAAACTGCGCATGTGCAGAATGGGTACAGGTTCAGTCTGTCTTATCAGGAGATAAGACATGGACATTTGAAGAAGAGAAGGAGCAGAGAAGACAGGATCAAACAGCCTTTTTATACAATGCAGTGAATTAACCCCTTATGTTCCACTGAGGAGTATAACAAGCATGATTTACATCATATACAGACTGACTTTACTGTTGTGGGTTTAGTAACACTTTAATGCAAGCAATGCATTAAGGTAAAAAATAAAAAAATTTTTAGCTTTAGTATCACGTGAAAAAACCCTCGCTGGCCCCCACCCGTTTGGCTCTTTTTTCTGCTCCCATTTGCCTCCGAGTTTCTGAAAGCCTTGTCCACACTGTATGAGTTGCTACCTCACTGATAACAACCTTCTTGACCCCCAACAGACCAGCTTCCGCCTGCAAGATTCCACTAAAACTGCCCTACTAAAACTAACTAATGACCTACTAACTGCTAAAACCAATGGCCATTACTCTATACTAATACTCTTAGACCCTTATTCTGCTTTTGACACAGTCGACCACCCAATCCTCCTCAATAAACTCCACTCCCTTGGCCTTCACAGCTCTGCTCTTTCCTGGTCCTCCTTCTACCTATCTCAGTGCCACCTTCAGTGTCACACATACAAGGGTAAACTGTTGCGGTAACCCATGGTTCTATCCTTGGGCCCCTCTTATTCTCTCTCTACACTACTTCCCTGGGCCAGTTGATAACTTCACACAGCTTTCAATAACACATCTACGCCAACGACACCCAGATATATATTTCTACTCCCCAGCTCGCCCCCTCAATCTCTTCACATTTAACAAATTTACTGAGCGAAAAATCAGTATGAATGTCAAACCATTTCCTCAAACTCAATCTGCCCAAAACTGAGTTTATATTATTTCCTCCTCCCCAATCCCCACTACATGACTTTACCATTGAGATCAACAGCATACTTATTGGTCCCTCTGCACAAGCCAGGGTGTCAGGTGTAATCCTTGACTTTGACCTTATCTGCAGATATCACCCAAATCAGATCACCCTCTGCAGCTATTACCTTTTGTACCACCTCCCCCTCCCTTTAGATTGTAAGGTCCATGAGCGGGGCCTTCCTATTCCTTCTGTATTTAACTATATTGTAGTTGTGCTGTCTCCCTCTGTATTGTAAAGTACTGTGCAAAATGTTGACGTTGTATATAAATCCTGTATAATAATATGATGCAGCATTAACACAGAGCTTTTGGCTCTTTAAACCTTTTGTCCAGAATAAAAAATAAAAGCTGTTGCTTTAACTGCTTAAAAAGTGTTAAGCTGGCCATACGTGGTTAAAAAAAAGAATTGGAAATTCATACAAAAATTTAAATATTATTTAGATCTAACTTTTGATGGCCTAATCAATGTATCAGAAATTTCCTGCAAATTTCAATATTTTTCTGGTTATTTTCAACATTAAATATGTTTTTTTTCCCGCAATCAATTATTACTACCCCTACTGCTCGTGAGCATTTCACTTTAGGTTGTCTGTCCCCATTTAAAATTGCACTGAAGAGAATGAAGAGCGTTGTCACCGTCTGGTGATATGATAGTCTTGCACAGCTGTACAGACTCCTCTCCTGTACTGAAATCCTTACTCTAATTTTACTGCACCTGTGAGATTCTCACAATGTGCATTAGAAGCAAGTCAGAAAGAGTCCATTTTATTTCCTAGCTGGAGGATGTCCAGCACCATCTAGCTCCTTCCTCCTCAGCCTGACTCTTCCTTGCCCTGCCCCTTCCATTCATTGCATTTCAGTTCTTTTAATCATGGAGGCTCAGCATCACATGAGGGTGTTACCTAGGATGGTCTGCATGCAAATACACTCTGCCTGAAAATGCCCACTCCCCCAGACTGACATCAACTGAACAAGGCATTGTGATATTTGCATAACTTCTCCCAAGAGCTACTGCTTCTTGCATTAGACTCCAGGGCTCTTGAGAGGAGTAATGAGGCAGGGTACTGTGATGTTTATAGGAAGCTATGTACAGCATCCTTCAAGCCCCTTCCACCAACCATGATCTGCTTTCCTCAATAAAGAAACATAGAGATATAGTGATAATGGCACGGGGTCTAAAAAAGGAATGTAATGGAAATCAAAAGGTTTAATTTAAAAATGTAACAAGCATGTTCATGAAAGTGGGGGGGTCTGGGGGGGGGGGGGGGGTTGGTAATATAAACAGATTAAACTTCAGCTTTAAAGCAAGTCTACTGATTTAACAGTTGCATTCTAGACATGCTGTGAATGATAAACTGTTACAGTTCCCAGTGCGCTTATGTTAGCCCTCAACCAAACTGTCATGTCATCAAATGGCTGGTGTCTTCCGTTGGTCACATGTGCAGCACCTTGGAATCTGCAGATCAAACAGAAGCCAAGATGGCAGCGTCCTTGGCTGTAAAGCAGGGTTTAGTTTCACTTTAAGTATATTTTTTTCCCCTCACAGAAAGGGTTGTTTTACTGAAAATTCGCTTGGGTCATGTTATATGGTTTGGTGTAGATCTGAATGGTGCTCAGTAGGGTTCTTCCTTAACCGCCTTAGTACCGCCCCATAGTAGAAATACTGCTACAGGGCGGTAGCGGTGTGCAAAATCACGTGTATATATACGTGATTTTGCATTTCCAGGTAGGGTCCCGACTGGTGATTACACGCCGGCGCCCGGTGATTTCCAAGGATCTTCAACGGGGGGGGGGGGGGGGAGAGAAGTGTTAGTAAACAAAACAGTTCTCCTCTCTGTCAGCTTCTGCACACTGCTTTGCATGGCTGTGCACAGATTTCCAAGGATTTCCAAGGGGGGGGGGGAACTGTTAGTAAACAAAACAGTTCTCCTCCCTGTCAGCTTCTGCACACAGCCATGCAAAGCAGTGTGCTTACAGGGAAGCACACACACAGACTATCATGTGAAACAGCACACACTTAACCCTTCGATCGCCCCAGATGTTAACCCCTTCATGCCCAGTGCCATTAGTACAGTACAGTGTCAGTGCTTTTTATTAGCACTGATCACTGTATTGGTGTCACTGGGGATGTCAGTGACACCAAGTCAGTTCCCCCCAGTGTCAGAATGCCCACCCGCAGTCCCGCTATAATTCGCTGATCGCAGTCATTACTAGTAAAAAAAAAAAAAAATTCCAGTATATATACACTGGCATTTGTAAATAACTTTCACGTAATCCAATTATTTTACACGTATTGGGATTTTTTTTGACAAATAAAATTTATGACAAAATTTGATTTTTTCAATTTTTTTTTACTGGACGTGTTTAATAGCAAAAAGTCAAAAATATTTTTTTCTCAAAATTGTTGGTCTTTTTTTTTTTTTTTAGTGCAAAAAATTAAAACCGCACAGGTGATCAAATACCACCAAAAGAAAGCTCTATTCGTGGGAAAAAAAGGACATAAATTTCATTTGGGTGTAGCACTGCATGACCGCGCAATTATCAGTTAAAGTAGCGCAGCGCTGTAACACAAAAAATGGCCTGGGCAGGAAGGGGGGTAAATCCT